AATGCAACAAGCCGTTTTGAAAAATCGCTTTTAGTTTTTAAGAAATAAATTTTTGAAATGATCGACAATTTTTTTTAATTTTGAAATTTTCGCCAAATCAGTTTTAAAAATTCGTATTAAATCCATTTCTTGGAATATGAGTATGAAAATTTCCCAAAGTGTTAATAAAAGTCTCTTCTTTCCAATGAACCAACCCGTTTTAAAAAATAGCGTTTAGTTTTTGAGAAAACAATATTTGAAGTTTTGATAACATTTTCGATGTTGCAATTTTCATCGATAACTTTAAAAATTCGCTATAAAATTCATTTCCTGAAGGATCCTTGTGGAAATATCACCAATTATTAATTAAAATATCCTCTTTTTAATGCAACAAGCCGTTTTGAAAAATAACTTTTAGTTTTTGAGAAAACAATATTTGAAGTTTTGATAAAATTTTCGATGTTTTCGAAAAAATGGTATTAATAATTAATTCTTAACAAGTTTTATTTGAAAAATATTTTGATACAAACAATAATTAGAAAAATAACAATCAATTCCTGTTTTGTACTGTTCATAGGGAAATTAAAAAATTAATAATTTGAAAAAATGATATTAATAAAAGTTGTTGCTTTTTTAATTGTTAACAAGTTTTATTTCGAAAATATTTAGCTACAAACAATAATTAGGAAGATAACCTGTTTTATACTGTTCATAGGAAACATATGGATCAATCAATTTTAGATGTTGAGAGATTCAAAAATGATTTTAATAGCGAAATCAATAATAAACTTAAATACAACGTTTCCATATTTTATATTTTTTCATCATAAACCTTTATAATCAAAAATAATTTCCATGTAGAACTAATACTGATAATACATTTAAAACACGAGTATTAAATAAATATGTATATAAATAACAAAATTAACGAGTTTCATGCAATTTTAAATGTCTCCGTAACGTATAAACCGTTTTTAACCACTGCCCACAAATTTCACACTTCACCTTATCCAAATGCGTCAATTTGTGTTGTCTCAAACCGTTTTTCCAACCAAATTTTTTTCCGCAAACGTCGCATTCGTAAGGTTTCACCTTATCTTCGCAATGCACGTTCATGTGCGCCCTTAAATGAGCCTCCCGATGAAATCCTTTCTGGCAAATCACGCAAACAAATTTCTTCTCATCCGAATGAATAACCATGTGAGTACGTAATTTACACATGAAATGGAACGAAATTCCGCATTGATTGCATTGATAACGTTTATCGTGGCTTCCTTTTTTTGGGGATTGATTACAATTTTTTATATTTTCAGTACTAATAATTTCGTTTTGGCCTATTTCTACATCATCTTTCGTTAGAATCGAATTAGAATTAAAATTTTCTATTTCATGGTGAAACTCGTAACTCAAATTATCATCATTGATGTTTTCTGATTTAACATAATTTGTTGATTCGGGAAAAGGTTCATAATAAGATTCAGTTTCGCATTTTATCTTGGTGTTTTGAATGGTTTTTAGGTGCTCTTGCGTTTCGAGACATCTCATTTTAAAACTGTAGGCCTCCTCGAGGCTTGATATACATTCTGGACATATTTGGGGTGATTCCGTAAGAGTTAAATCCTTCATTTTAATAAAAATGATCGTGTTGGTTAATATTTATTGGTTTTATTAATGTTACTTACAATTTCAGGGAGAATTAACTCTAAATAAGCCGAGTTTAATGATGATAATGATTTGAATTGGGAGTCCGAACAACCTAAGCAAAATCGACATGTATTCATTTTTATTAATTTTAAACACGATTATAATTACTTTTTACTTAATACTTTATATAATTGTGTTCTAAAAACCAATTTAAAAGGTAAATAATAAATAAAAAATTGAGGTTATGTTGTTCATGTTATTATTGACTTAAGGTATGAAGTTGGCTTCAAATTAAACGATTATAATAATTAAGTAAAAGAATTATTAAATAAACATTTTTAATTAATTAAGGGTGAATTTAAAATTTATTAATGAAAACGCATTAATTAAAATAATCGATATTCTATAACTAAAAAAAAGTTAGATTAAGTTGAGACAACGTGAAGTTGGCTATTTGAAGATTTTTGGTAAATCAATTTAAAAGTTCGTGGTGATTATGGTGGTAATTAAAGTCTGTAATATCCTCTTTAATCCTGTATGTTTCACCAGAGATGGATTATTAACTTCATTAAAGTATAAAGGAAATATTAATGGTTAAAGTTAAAATTTTATTATTATTAGGTTATCCGACTTGACTCGGTTACCATGGTGATTAAGATCCAAATATTGCAGGTGCTTGTCAAAATTGAAATTGAATTTAAGTTTTTTTAAGGAAAATGTCTCATTTAATTGATTTAAAAGGCTGTATTTAACTCAAAATTGGTTTATCAAGAAAACTATAAACAAGGTAAGTGGATTAAATCAAAAAAAGATATTTTTTATTTATTTCTCTTAAATAGAATCGAGTTAAATTAATTACAATTAACGAATTTGTTATAAATACGTGATAATCGTAAAGAATTCGAAATGTTTTCAAATTAATAAAAATTAGGTTAGAATTGATAAAAAATCGGAATAAAATTTTATTATTTTAAGGTTATCCAACTTGACTCGGTTACCATGGTGATTAAGATCCAAATATTGCAGTTGCTTGTCAAAATTGACGTTGAATTTAAGTTTTTTCAATAAATAACACGTTATTAATTGGATTTAAAGGTTGTATTTAATTCAAAATTGGTAGATGGATGAAATTATAATCAAGGTAAGTGGATTAAATCAAAAAAAAATTTTTTAGATCAATTAAAATGTACAAGAATTTAGGGTTAAATAACAATTAAAACTAGACCTAAAACTAGAAAGTTTTAGGTTTAGTCGGTCGTCTTAGACAAGAACTTAAAAAAGTCTGAAGACGCACGGCTAAACCCGAATATTTCTAGTTCTAAGTCTAGTATTAGTTCTAATTTTACACTAGAACTAACAGACGACCTAGAACTAGAATCATTCGGGTTTAGCCGTCTTGAGAATCGTGGGACTAAATCCGAATGTTTCTAGGTCTCGGTATAGTGTTAGTTCTAGTGGCAGTGGTAGGTAGCGCTAGTTAGCATAAGATATTACTATGTTGTATATTTTTATTGAACTAAAACGAGAACTAGAAACAGCCGGGTTTAGTCGTGAATAAAACTTTTAGTCGTCAATGTCAACTTTAATTTTATTATTATATTCGTAATCTTCATAAAATAACCTTTAAAATGAGTCCAAACTCGACATATTTAACTTTAATATTAATGGAAATACAATCACTTCCGGTTTGAAACGTCAATGTCAATTTTGACATATTTGTCATCTTCATTAAAAAACCTTTAAAATGAGTCCAAAGATGACGCACTTATCTCAAAAAACAAAAAAATTTTAATAAAAATCGTTAAACCCGAAGTTAGCAACAATGAGGATAGCAATTTAATTATTAAATATTAATACCAACCTTAATTTTTAATTTTTTTTTACTATATTTTAGTTTTTGAGATACATTTTAAGATATTTTATAAAAATTAAGAATATGTCAAAATGACATTGACATTTCAAACCGGAAGTTGCTTACATCTCGACTAATATTGGGCTTATTTTAAACGCTTTTTCACGACAATTACAAAATATGTCAAAATTGACGTTGACATTTGAATTGACCATAACTTCATTAATATTGAAGATAAATATGTCATGTTTGTTCTCATTTTAAAGGATTTTTAATAAAGATTACAAATATGTCAAAATTGAGGTTGACATTTTAAATCTGAAATTAGTTATCATATAATAGCCAAATGGACAACTTCATGGTGGTCTTTCATGATGTAGTCTTTATTAAAAAAACCTTTAAAATGACGCAGTTATCTCAAAAAACAAAAAAGTTTGAATAAAAAAACGTTAAACCCAAAGTTAGCAACAATGAGGATAGCAATTTAATTATTAATTAATACCAACCTGAATTTTTAATTTTTTTTTATTGTATTTTTGTTTTTGTGATAAATTTGAAGACATTTCATAAAAATTAAGAATTTGTCAAAATGACATTGACATTTCAAACCGGAAATTGACCATAACTTCATTAATATTGAAGATAAATATGTCATGTTTGTTCTCATTTTAAAGGATTTTTAATAAAGATTACAAATATGTCAAAATTGAGGTTGACATTTTAAATCTATTTAAATAATACAAAAGTTAGGATAGTCAGAGGCAAACAAGAAAAACACGTCATTAGTATTTTTAAACGTACTATAAGGACACATAATATTGCCAAAATCGACAGGGTTTCTTCAGAAACTTCTGTTCGGTTTCTGAAGAAGGTTGCAACATGGCATCCGAAACGTCAAACATTTTTTCAAAAAACGCACGGCTTAACCCGAAAGATTTTAGTTCTAAGTCTAGTGTTAGTTCTTGTGATAGTGCTAGTGTTAGCTCTAGTTTTAGTTTAATACTTTAGTACTACTTCCATACCAAATTTTATTGCGCTAGACACACGCGTTCAGATTATACAGGGTGTGCTCGTGAATTATTTCCAACAGTGTATCAATGAAAAGCTCTTTGAAAATGAATATCAGTTTACATTTACCACATTTCGATAGCTATTTTTGTTTTCAGCCTATAAGCGAATATACAGGGTGATTCACATAAGAACCGACACAGAGCAGGGACATGTAGAGGATACTAAGTTGTACACCTGAGGAGTTATAGGCCTTCAAAGTTGGCTCTTAAATTTTTAAAAAGTTCAATATCTTCGTAATACATTAAGCTAGAAAAACCAAATTTGGTATACGTTATGAGTGTACCAAGGGTATTAATTGGTAGCAAACTGAACTCAATTGAAGCATGTATGTATGTATGGATTGGGGAGTGCATGCAAAACCGCACGCCACACTTAGGCCCCATTGGGCCCCTTGTGCATCCTCCCATTACACACTCTGGTCACATCAACCAGCCTAAGGATTTACCAAAGGCTAGGACAGCTCCTAGAGGTGCATTCCTGATGTCATCTGTGGTTGGCCATTCCTCCCCGAAGGTCCTCATTCTGAGGTCGGTCAGAGAGGGCAATCACACAAGATGTGTTTAACCCTCTCGTCATCCTGTTCACAGGCTCAACAGAGAGGAGAGTCAGCAAGCTTCATGTTTTGAAGGTGCTATTTACTTTACAGTGTCCCGTGAGGAGACCTGTGGCAGTGCGAAGGGCACTTTTACCGAGCCCTACGAAGAACTGGGCTGTTGCGGCTGAAGGATATTTTAACAATTCCTTAGCGAGATGACAGCCCGGGGTACGGTCCCACCCGTTTAAAATTTTTTTGTGGGTAATGTGCTTTATTAACTCGATATGAGTGGCTAAGGAGGGGGTAATTATCGGCTCGGGTGCACAGGGCGCTCTACCGGCAGCACGTTTGGCTAGCCTGTCCGCGTGGTTGTTACCCTTGGAGCCGGAATGCCCTTTAATCCACTGGATTCTGACAGAATTGTATTTCGCGGCCTCCTCCAGTGCTTTGTGACAATCCATAACTACTGCAGACGTTATAATAACTCTGCTTAAAGCTAAAAGAGATTGTTTACTGTCTGTAAAAATAGTAAAACACTTACCCCGCTTGTTGGATTCAACAATGCAGTCAGCAGCAAGTTTAATAGCAGTTAGTTCCGCTTGTATGACTAAAGGTTCTGAGAGGCGAATCAGGGGATCGTGAGAGCTTGCACCATTTCGTCCTTTTGAACCATCAGTGTAGATCTTTAAAGTTCTATGTACATCTACAACTGTGGGACTTACGTGGGTGAGGTACTTCCTTGAGAAAACATATTTTGCTGGTCTGTGATCAGTCTAACACTCGAGTAGGGGTGTGTCTAATACTGCTTCCCTCCAGAGTGTTGAACTGCTGCCAGCGTCCTCATCCTTCATAGTTCCTACTGATTGTAGTCGTTTCATGGTTACCAACGCCACTTCCTGGATATGTAGGTTGAGTGGTGGTAAATTTAACATGATTTCCATGGCCGCTGTGGGGGTTGATCGCAGCGCACCTGTAACATACAGACACGCGAGTCTCTGTATTCTATTAAGTGCAGTGGTGGCGGTAGACTTAGAAGTTCTAGTCCACCATACCACCGCACCGTAAGTTAGCATTGGTCGAACAACGGCGGTGTAGATCCACAGGGCTATCTTGGGAGACAGACCCCAAGTCCTCCCGACAGCCCTCCGGCACTGGCCGAAGGCGACACAAGCTTTATTAACTCTATTGTCTAGGTGGGATTTCCACGTTAGCTTACTGTCTATTATTAAGCCCAAGTACTTGACTTCTGTAGACAGTTTAAGTGGAATTTTAGCGAGCGTTGGCAGTCTAGGATTGCCAATGTTGCGCTTGCGTGTAAAAAGAACCATCTCTGTCTTTTTGGGATTGACGGAAAGGCATTGTTTATTACACCAGTTCTCAATTAGATTGAGTGCTTCCTGCATCCTGTCGAGGAGTACGTTAGCGTACTTGCCTCTTATGAGGATTGTCAGGTCATCTGCGTAGCCAACGGTTTTAAAACCGGCTAGGTTTAGGCGTTTCATGAGGCTATCGAGGGTGAGATTCCACAAAAGTGGAGAAAGTACCCCCCCTTGCGGACAGCCTCTAGTAACAGCCCCTTGAAGAGTGGCTTGGCCAGCTCTTAATTTGACGACCCTATGTCTTAGAGTGCTCTCAATCCAGCCGCACAGGGCCAGAGGAACGTTATGCTCTAGCAAGGCGTCGTTAATTCCGGAGAAGGTAGTTTTATCAAAAGCTCCTTCCACGTCAATAAAAACCCCGAGGGCGGACTCCTTGTGGTCCAGCGCACCACCGACGNCACCAACTCGAGGTATCCCAGAATTTTGTTTGGCGTACGTTGAAAAGTAACGGTTTACACCCCTATCATTTTCAAAAAGTGCAAGGACTGACTCCCGCTGACTATCCTTTGCGGTTGCAATTTTGCGAGTGGCTACTAAATCGTACCAACAGAGAAGCAGATTTTGCGGACAGTATACTGGTAACGGATGAATGCTGTTTTACCAGAAATGGTGTTCTAAATGTTCACAATTCCCATGTGTGGTCGGACGAAAATCCACACGTTATTCGTCAAGGCTCTTTTCAACAACGATTCAGAGTGAATCTATGGGCGGGAATTGTGAACAATACGTTAATAGGACCTTTCGAATTACCAGGAACTCTTAATGGAACTTCTTATTTACAGTTTTTACAAGAAAATCTGCCAGTACTCCTGGAAGATATTCCGCTACTTATGCGACGTGAGATGTGGTTTATGCACGACGGTTGTCCTGCACATTTTAGTCGTAATGTACGAGATTTCCTCGATAATGCTTTTCGGCAAAAATGGATTGGTCGAGGTGGACCTATTCCATGGCCACCACGTAGTCCCGATCTTAACCCATTGGACTTTTTTTTATGGGGATTCATGAAGGATAGAGTATATGCCACCGAGGTTAATACAATCGACGAACTACGACATCGCATCACTGCCGCTACAGAGGACATACGTCCACGATTTCCACGATTATCGTTAAATTGGATTCGTCGTGCGCAGTTGTGCGTCGAAATGCAAGGACAACACTTTGAACATATGTTATAAAGAGATTATGCATTTAAAACATTATCATTATCCGTTTCATAAATTAACATCTATTATTTCTTTTCATAAATTACGTATTAAAACTAAACAATTAAATTGTCTACTTTGACAGCTCCTTCAAAAATGAGGATGGCGTTGAGAAGTATTTTAATTGTTCTTTAGTGAATATCAGCGGTTCTCAAAAGTTGACGCTAACTTATTTAAAAAATTAACATTAAATTATCTATGTAACTATTAAGATTTTAACAAAACATTATTAAGAAAATCTCTTCAGTTTGACCTCAAGTACCTACCCATTTAGTCTCCTCCGTATGTTATAAATCACCCTGTATATATTTCGCCCCGATTTCCAACCCTTATAACTCGCCCCAGGGACTTTATTAGCACGTATAAAAAAATACGTCAACCTTATTTTTGGCCATACTATCGCTGTACCAAATTTCAACAAAATCAGTGAGGGACAGTTCTGATACTTTCCTTGTAAGAAAAAATGACAAAATACATAACAAACGAATAAAGTTGGGTAAAGAACTAATAAAAGAAAATCTGAAAGAACACTTCAAGAAAAACTTAACCAAACTGCAGAACGGCTCAGCACAAATATTTACCAAACAGAAACAAAAATGCAGTACCTCCTTTAGAAGTTGATGACCATAAAACGACACGTTTGACTAAATATGCCTGCATGCTAAATGGTCTGCGATGATCATTGCCAAAATCTTTGAAACTGTAGTATGTTTATAATTTTGTATTTTTATGAATGTTATACTTGCTTTTTTATTATTCAAAGTCTCATTTAACGATGTTACGTTTTACTAGTGCAATAAGTTTGATCTGAAATAATTTGCATTTTAGCTTTCCCAGTTGATAATAAAAAAATAAAACATAGGCTGTTATTTTTTTGCTAAAACCTCTAAAAATAGATTCTTTGCACAAATATATAGATTTTTTTGAAATATTTTGGTTTGTCTTGGACAAAGGACTAACTTGGCAATCACACATTAGTTACAATACCAAAAAAGCAACGATTATACTCACCCAATACTTATTAGGTTATTTGGCCACCCTGTACAAAGGGCCCGCTGAGGCCTAAGTGCAGTAAAGGAATTCACACCCACATGAAGCTACATACATACATATATACATTCTCTTTAATTTGAACAAGAATCATTTTTGAGAACCCATGACTTTATTAGTTATTATATTTTTAAGAATGCTTTACTTTAACTTTTGGAAGAAACGTTAATGTTAAAAATAAGTTGTAATAATAAGATACCATTATCACAGAAAGGTCAGTTGTGTTATTTAGAGACGATTAGAAATAAGAGTCAAAATTTATTTCACACCGATTTGTTAGAAACAACTCGATATGGTTGTAATAATTCTTTTATTTGCAACAATTAACATTGTTGTTGCTACAGGTAAGTTTAAAAAAAAAATTATATATTATATACATTAGAATTAATGTTTTAGCTATTCTTAGATTTTAGCTAAATAAAGTTTCTCGTTCTTTATTCCGACATGGATAATTCTGATAGGTTCTTTCAATTTGCAGTCTTTGCAGGTACTTGGAACTTCACTGGGCAATTACTTCTTTTACAGTAAGCATATTGAGGTCTTGATGTAAGATGTAATTACCTACGAACCAAGGTGCGTTGCATATAGCGGCGAATATGTGTCATTTATTTTAACAAAAAGTATCTCTCCGTCAGATATGATTCCAATAGATAGGTTAATAAGATAAGAAGTTTATTTTTATTGATGGAGGATTTTTGTTGATGTCAGAAAGAGTTCAGAACCTTTCTAACGATTTACCTTAACACCAAAAAGTATCTAAATACTTTCTGAACATTGATTAAAATTCGTAAGGGATTCTAAAGATATCAAAAACTGTCCAGAAGCTTTCTATTGACTTCCATAATCATCAAAAAGAGTCTAACTGCTATCTGGACATTTATTAAGATTTCTAGTGGATTCTAAAGCTGTCAAAAAGTGTCCATGAGATGTCTAATAGTATCTATAGTCGTCAAAAAGCGTCCAAAAGGTTTCTAATGATCTCTATAGTAGTCAAAAACTGTCTAGAAGCTTTCTAATGCTATCAATAATTATCAAAAGGTGTTTAAACGCCTCCTGGACGTTTACTTTTATTGATGGAGGATTTTTGTTGGTGTCATAAAGAACCAAAATCTTTCTAGCGATTTTCCTTAACATCAAAAAGTATCTAAATACTATCTGAACATTGATTAAGATTCCTAGGGGATTCTAAAGATATCAAAAACTGTCCAGAAGTTTTCTATTGACTTCCATAATAATCAAAAAGAGTCTAACTGCTATCTGTACATTTATTAAGATTTCTATGGGATTCTAAAGCTGTGAAAAAGTATTCAGAAAGTGTCTAATTATTTCTATAGTTATCAAAAAGTGGCCATAAGGTGTCTAATGGTATCTATAGTCGTCAAAAAGCGTCCAAAAGATTTCTAATGATGTCTATAGTAGTCAACAACTGTCTAGACGCTTTCTAATGTTATCAATAATTATCAAAAATTGTTTAAACGTATCCTGGACCTTTATTTATGGAGGATTTTTGTTGATGTTATAAAGGGTCCAGAACCTTTCTAGCGATTTACCACAACACCAAAAAATATCTAAATGCTTTCTGAACATTGCTTAAGTTTTCTAGGGGATTCTAAAAATATCAAAAAATTTCTAGAAGCTTTCTATTGACTTCCATAATCATCAAAAAGAGTCTAACTGCTATTAACTTTATGTCTAAAGGCCTCAATCGCAATTTGAAGGGTGGCTATTACTCGAAAACTTCGATTTTGCTTGAGTTGGTACGTATGATATTTGGTTCCTTTTTCAGTTAGGGCTTTTATGGTAACAGAATAATCATCACAGTTATTTAATTGCACTTCAACCTGCTCTTTGCTTAAACTCTTCAAAGTGTAATTATTGAAAGGCCAATAGATCATACAAGGGTTTAATATGGTTAACATCTTGTATGAATGTAGGCGGAGAAGGATCTGTATTTATTTTCGTAGCTTATTTCTCTTTTCTTCGTTTATAGCATTAGATGTTAGCGAATAACTTCTAGGTTTCAGAGTTTCAACGTTTAATTATTTTAAAACATCTGCCAAAGCCACAATAACAAGTCTGACAATAGATAAAAGCTCTCGATAAAGTTCCCCTTTTTTTGTAGAACCCTTTTATTGGAGATTGTACAATGGTACAATACCAAATGATGCTGTATCATCAGAAGTCTCCAATTTATTTGTAAGTCGAGTAGGTAGATGTGTTGGTAAGTGATAAAAATGATTAATCTAAAAATATAAATGATTTCGTTGCTTTGTATTTAGACAGGAATAGCGTCACGTTTTATCCAGCTACCCTTGATTCCATAACAAAAAGTGCTACCGCTAACATCATGGGTAAAAAAAGAATTATTACCGATATAAATAATATTATGGTAACATCATAATTTATTTGACTCATTTTAATAAATAATAATCATTGATTAATTAGATTTTGTGCACATCGGAACCTGAACGTCTCCGATGGGAATATGTTAACATTCAAGCCGTGAAAGGAGACTTATTAAAGAAACTAGTCCCGGCTGGGTATTTAGATAACATTGAACGGTATGTGGGGAAAGTTTTTCACGAAAATAGTTGGAAAATCACCACATTATACCAACATGGGCATAAATGGGAAGGTTTAAATATTTGGAAAGATAACGGGGATACAACGAGTGTGTACGATTTTCAAGTAAGTGTGATTTATAATTGAAATATAAATTTAAGTGATTTGTTGTAGATATTAATATGGAGTTAAAACGGAAAATGACTTATACATATACATAGTATGTGTATATATGTAATATAATAGCTATATATAAAAAATATTGTAAGAAATATCTCGTATATCAGTCTTTCTCTTAACCTTACTTCGAAACACACATGTTTAGTTCCAAACCCCGACTGTCCCTTTCTTTTCCCCCCATCGAACCACGACATAATCAAACCGATCCAACATATTCGCGAACCGAAATTCCCCGTGTTATATTCGGCTATTCTGACAGTATTCGACTTCTTGGTCGAAATCCCCTGTCACAAAGTCCTTCATTCATTCTGGCTTCTTCCGTACACGACGTACGGTGGATTCCGCTATAACCTCTTCGTTCTTTGTTCCATCATCCTCTTGTTGTTCATCGATGCTATCTTCTTCATTGTGATTCTGATACCCCTTTAATTGAGATACATGCGCTGTCGTTGCAAATCTTCTTCTATCTTCTTCATTAATACTTGCCACACGATATGTGTCTGAGGGTAGTATCTGGGTTATTGTTAAAGGCCCACAAAACTTAGGCTGAAGTTTAGTCGATTCCCCCGATCCACCTACTGGCTGCCGTCTCATGAATACAACGTCTCCTACCTCATATCTTACTCCCAAATATCTTTTCTTATCTGCAAGGCTCTTTTGTTTTTGTTGTTCTTCTTCTATTCGTCGTCTAACTTCTATTTGTATATCTTCTGCTGGAGTCCACTGCTCTGTCGGTACTATCCTTGCCATAACTGGGTCTGTTTGAAAACGTGGTAAGTAACCATATAACACTTCGTATGGTGCTCGTCCAGTAGTTTTGTTTATGGCTAAATTTAAATTTCGTTCTACTTCCACTATACTCCTATCCCAACCTACGTCTTCTTGCATGCTTCCTAATATCACCGGTATCACAGTTCTGTTAACTCTCTCTACCTGTCTCTCTACCTGTACGTAATAGATATCGCTCGACTTTCAGTAAACCTCCGAAACTCCACGGATGTAAACGATGTCCCTCTATCGTATACGATCCTTCTTGGATTTCCATACCCTTGGATTAATCTCTCCAGTGATCTTATCGTTGTTCTGGTTTTGGTGTCTCGTACAGGGTATAACTTTACAAACTTCGTCAAAGCGTCTATGATTACTAACAGATACATGTTACCTCTGCAGCTCTTTATAAATGGTCCCAAATGATCTATGTGAATTCGGTCGAATGGTTTCTGTGGAGCAGGAATGGGATGTAGTTTCCCCGCTTTCGACCCTGTCGGTAACTTGCTTAGTAGACATTCTGGACATACTCGTATATGTTTGCTCACATATCTTCTCATTCCAACAAACCAATAATCCCGCATGATCGCATCAACAGTTCGTTCCAACCCAAAATGTCCCCTCATGTCGTGATATTTCACGACAATACTCTTCCTCATTCCCTGCGGTATCACATACAGCTCTCGTCCATCTTTCATCTCTCTGATCAATCTACCACAGTTAATTTTATATCCGACAACTTCATTCTTCTCTTGTTGTGTTCTAGTTGTTTCCTTTTTCTTCAACACCGCTATTTTCTTCTTTAGGTCTGAGTCAGCATACTGGATGGTGGTTACATAATCTTCTTCTGTCATGATTTCCATAATTTCTCCCCTCTCCAAGTACGACTCTTCCACATCTACACCTTCGTCGTTTGGTGCCTTCGATAATGCGTCGACGTGACTCATTTTATCGGCTGAACAACTGTAGCATTGATAGCATTGAACAACTTGAGTACCTTTAGTTCGCTCAAGTCTTCGAACGCTTCGTCTTGCAATTTGGTCCAACTAAAATTTTTACCCTTCTTCAAGTCACTTAACGATCGCGCCCTGCGTGCATAGTCTCTCACAAATCGTCTAAAATATGACGTCAATCCAAGAAATCTCCGTACCTCATGGACATTTGCTGGCCTTGGGTACATTGACACAGCTTTCACCTTGCTTCCCGGCTTAATACAGCCCTCAGATAAATGGTGCCCCAAAAATTCTACTTCACGTTTGCCAAAATAGCATTTCCTCAAATTTAGTGTCAACCTTGCTGATCTTAAAGCTTCAAATATTTAGTTAAATTTGTTACCGTATCTTCCACTATCATTTTTGTGTTGTTTCTCCTGTTGAATTTGGACAATCCTTCTTCAGGTGACCCGACCCTTTGCATATGATCCTCGGTTGGGTGCATTTATTCGCCATATGACCTCGCTCACCACATCTGTAACATCGAACGTTGTTGCCGTTTAGGTTCTTCAGATTTCCAGGATCTCTCTTCTTTCTTCGAGTCTGGTTCACCACGCACCTGTTTAACATCTTTAATTACGGTACCCCTCGGTCTCGTGTCTTTTCTCGTAGCACGGTACCAATTCGCCGCTGGACCCACCAAATGTGATCGAGCCGTCTCAATTTTCACGGATTCCGGCCACTTGTAAAGCGGCCCATACACGACGACTCTTGCAGCGCCGCATGAAGCATCGTGTGTAGGGAAGCGCCAGGAATATTTCTGCCTGCAATATTTAATTTTTTACAAGCAGTATTAGTATTCTGGAACCAATTTGTAGTCTATTGATAGCAGTACCTAGCCTTGTATAAATAATATCTATCTTTTTAAGCAGTTTCTAGTATTGCATAGGTAGTATTTGTCTTCCGCAAGGAATTTTTGATCGTCTATAGGAAGTATTTAGTCTTCTGCAAGCAGTATTAGTATTCTGGAACCAATTCCTTGGCTATTGGTAGCAGTACCTAGCCTTCCCTAAACAATATCTATCTTCTGCAAACAATTTCTAGTGTGGTATCGTTGAAGGGTTTTAGGTCTTTTGAATAAAAGAGTTTCTTCCCAACTACATGTGAATGTATTTTACCCAAAGGTTCGTACAATTCTGATGATTACAAAAGCGTAATCAACTTTAAAGTATTACAGCAATAATGCTTACCACGGTAATACGGTTCAACGGACGATGACCTGATACTTATTAATTAAGTTGCTGAGCCTACATTTTATAGTTAAACGTTTTGTAATTTACTTAAACAATAATGAATTCGGATACATTACACTAGTATTGTATAGGTAGTATTTGTCTTCCGCAAGGAGTTTTTAGCCTTTTGCTGGAAGTATTTAGTCTTTTACAAGTAGTATTGGTATTCTGCAACCAATTTGTAGTCTTTTGGTAGCAGTACTTACGTTTCTATAGACGATATCTATCTTTTTAAGCTGTTTCTAGTATTGTATAGGTAGTATTTGTCCTTTATAGGAAGTATTTAGTCTTCTGCAAGTAGTATTGGTATTCTGCAGCCAATTTCTTGGCTATTGTCTCTCCAGATATGCATTGGTATAGGTCCGTCGATAGCGGTTAAAGAAGTGCGGCACGACGCCACAAGAGTCTACGTGTGTAGGCCGCTTAAAGCACCGCACTGGTTTTTACGCTCGTCAGCCAGTCTACCGCTCGCAAAAGATCTCGATCACCATCGAATCTATTTACTGTTTTCGTCAGATCCGGTATTATTTGGAATTGTGAAGACGGTTGGCGCTCCGCCCTCATTTCGCGTAATATCTCATCTCATCCGGCTTCCCCGGCTAACGTTGAGGAGCTATGGAAACGAGTTAAGGTGGCATGGTTGGCCATCCCTCTCGCTACAATATAGCGACTTATAGACACCATGCCACGTCGTGTAGCGATGGTACGCGAAGCTCCCGGGGGATACTCTCGCTATTGATGTTTCTCCTCCCAGCAGAGTTGTGCCGCTCTCGATGTGAGAGTAAGTTACACTACTTTAGTACATAGACATGGGGTTTGATTTTTCTCAAGAAACTTGGAGTATTTTGCCATTGTTCTTCCCAGCTGTTATATATCAAGGATCTTACATGTTTTGCAATATCTTTATGTCTGCAAAAGTTCACATCCATTGTTGCTTTATCTGCAGCCTCGGATGCTGCACAATCAGCACGTTCATTCCCCTCAATTCCAACGTGACTTGGCACCCATATAAAAATAACTTTATGATTTTGTTTTGTGATGCTGTCTAGTGTGCCTAAGATTTGTTGTAGCATTGTTTCTTTTGTGTACAGGTTTTGTAAGGATTTGATACTACTAAGCGAATCACTTATTATTAGAAAATTCCGGTTATTGAAGTTCATATTTATGTATAGTAGTGCTTGGAATATTGCATATAACCCTGCAAGAAATATTGAGGAACATGGTTGAAGCGTCCAGGAATGTTCTGTATTATCGACTGATATTGCACTAGCAACACCGTTTTCTTTTTTTGATCCATCAGTGTAAACACAAAAGGCATCAGGATAAGTATGCACTGTGTTGTGAAAATCAGCAAGAAACATTGCATGGGGGGCGTTTTATTTTGAAAATTTAGTGAGGTCCAACCTAGCTTCAATGGAATTCAACAACCATGGAGGCACTTCAGAATATTGGTAGGTAAGTACCTGAGGTAATGCCATATCTAAAGATTGTATCAATTCTTGTGCACGAACGATAGTTGGTCTGGTAGCTGTCAATCTAAAGGTAAGTGTTTGTTGTTGGATTATTGCAAAAATTGGATTATTTGGTTTAGCTAGGAATCTAAGATAGTAGTTCACTAATTGTATATCTCGTCTATAGTTCAAGGGAGGTAAACCTGATTCACTATATAGACTATTGATAGGGCTTGTAGGAAAGGCACCAAGTACATATCTTACACCCAAATGATGTATGGTATTAAGTTTATTAAATCCACCTTTTCTCGCTGAACCATAAGCTTCGGAACCATGGTCGAAGATAGATAGTACTGTAGCTGTATATAGTTGCATTAATATCTTAGTATCTGCCCCCCACCTTGTACCTGACAGCATACGCAGTAGATTAAGTGCTTTATGGCAACGTTCCTTAATGTATTGTATGTGAGAAAGCCACCTTAATTTCGCATCAAAAATAACACCCAGAAACTTTATTTGTGAAACTCTATTAATAGGCGAATCGTGCAACTGAAGCAAAGGTTCTTCTAAGTGTCTATACAGTGTAGAAAATTTTATGTAAGCTGTCTTTTGTTTAAACCCCACCGATACTGCATTTTCCAATATAATATTGATGGAT